CTTCGAAGTGCGTAGCCGGTGGATTTCCACAATCGGCACGGCCGTTCCTTATGTCGTATGCACGTATTTTACTGCTTGAATGTACGGAACATTGCCACAATGTAACGACGACAAAAAACGAATAAAACGCGCGGGTACATCTTAAGCGGTATGAAAGAACAGTATCGGTGTACTGTAAGACCGACGATTGGTCCTTTAGGATGCGAAGCAAGGCGGGAATTACGGAATTACGTCTCAGTTTTGTCTGACAGTAAATATTCACCCTTTTTGTTTTCGTACCCGGATGTATGCATAGGCAAGTTGACACGTATGGACGAAGCAAATGGTTACTGTTTAAGATCGATGCTCAAGCGTGGCCAGGCTTTTAGGATTCACCGTAAAAGGTCTTTGGCATTAACTTCAAAATCGAAGCAGTCATCGAGTGCTATCAGCTGGAAGGCCCGGCGAAGAATGCACTATATGGCCTACAGATCGGCGATTGCTACAGTAAGAAGTTTTCAGCGTCCTTCCTACAGGGTGGTATTCAGAAACTTCAGTTTATTTGCCTGGGACCGAAAATATTGCGCCGGTCGTTAAAAGCGTGTTGCTCTTGTCTAACCATGTCATTTGTCGAGCACAAATTGAGAAAACAAAACCTCTCTGAAGGTGTAGCACTTGTGAACGTTGTAATGAGCGATACGGCGACAAAACTTACCACCAAGATTCTGGAACTCGCCTGTAATATGCAATTGCTATTGACACCCGACGCGCAGCGGAATTGGGGCGTCGCTCATGACGGAAATTCACAAGGCATGAAGCAGCAGAAGGTACAAATATAAGCAATTTTCTGAGAGTACAGTAAAACGCAGCTACGCCGCACAGTACGCCGTACCGCGATCATCATGACTGTATTTGACGTGTCTGAATTACTGGTACCGGGCTCCCGTAAGTGGCGCTTTCCTTTCATGCGTAAAAGCGGTTGGAGATATTAATGTTGCAATATTACAGCATTAACGTAAATTCGATCACTTGAACCGTCCAGTATTTGGCCACGAACTGCTGTGAGTGAAGCACTCCTGCCATTCCTCATAGTTTTGAGCCTTGAACCTCCAAGCACAGCTTACCCGACTCCTCATATAATCTACCCACCGTCGTGATGGGCGACCCAACGGCTTAGTCTGCCTGTATGTGTCCCAGTCTATCTCCAGTCGATGAACCGAGCTACGTGACCGGCCACCATAATTTATGTTTTCTAGTCTCGACGACAACCTCTTTCACTCCCGTCCGCAACCGGATCACCATGTAGAGGTGGTCTCGCCGTCAGATTCCAACATTCTTCTTTTCGTGTCTCTCTCAGTGACAGATGGCGGGCTCTTTTTGACTTTAGCACATGACAATGTCTCGGAGCCACGCAACATTGCCGACAAGACGATATATTGTAAAGGGGACACAGCTTTCTTCCCTGATGTTGTCAAGGAACATGTACTTGATGGAATGGCATCCTTGCCAACCTGCCCCTCTTTCTCTGTAAAATTCCCCCTCCCCTGGCCTAATCCTGGCGCACGTCGATCCAAGTAAATTTACGTATCGGATTCTTCGATCTTGTCGCCAGTTAATATGACCTGTGCAGTATCAGCAGGACATCTGATTGCAGTATCTTCGTTT